AGGGAACAGCTGTTATGTTGCTTTTTTTTTTTTTGGGGGGGGGGGGGGGGGGGGGGGTTTAGGGTGTGGAGGGGAGGGCATTGCATAAGTGGACAGGCGGACGGACAGACACAGCCTGACTTCTAGCTTCCTCCTCGTTGTAACTCTGAGGGGGTTTCGGGTTTTGGGTTCAGGGGTACTAATTAGAGGCCAAAACTCGAAAGCTCGCAAGCTTTGGGTGAACCTGAAGCTTTTTTCTAGTGCTCAGGATCTGGAGGTTCTGGAGGTTCTGGAGGTTCTGGAGGTTCTGGAGGTTCTGGAGTCCACTCCCAACACAGATGCCAACTCAATAGGGAAAGCCTCCCTAACCCCCTTTTGATTTACCCTCACTCTGAGCGTTTAGGGTTACAAGCCCCCGACACCAGACATGCCAAGATGCTGCATCTGAAACACCAGCGCCGCGTTTGGGGGGATGGGCCCTGCGCCACTCGCTATGTTTCTCTCTTTCTCTCACTTGCTTGCGTTTCGCTCTCTCTCTCTCTCTCTCTCCGTGTCTTTCTCGCTCTCTCGCTCTCTCTCCCTCTCTCCCTTTGTCTCTCTCTTCCCCCTGCAGCTGTATCTGCCCAGTAGCCAAGTAGCTTGCATGCTAGTGCTCGAGGGACAAGGTTTCAGGGTGATAGTGGTAGACTCAAACCCCTATCTGAAAGACCGTAGCCCTTCATCCCGGCCCGCCTCCCCCCCTAAACCCTAAACCCTAAACCCTAAACCCTAAACCCTAAACCCTAAACCCTAAACCCTAAACCCTAAACCCTAAACCCTAAACCCTAAACCCTAAACCCTAAACCCTAAACCCTAAACCCTAAACCCCAATTGCAATGAGAGCAAAAAGAAGCAGCCACAGCCACCAACCATGCTTCATAGAATCCTTACTAAGCCTAACCTCTAAACTCTAAACTCTAAACCCTAAACCCTAAACCCTAAACCCTTGCCCCCCTAAACCCTAAACCCTAAACCCTAAACCCTAAACCCTAAACCCTAAACCCTAAAACCCTAACATCATCCTAACATCCCGACCTCCCGGTGTGCCCTCAGCACCGTAACCCAGCTCCGAAGGGATGTAGAGCTCCCACCTGAGGTATTGACGAAGGCTTGGGGCTGAGGATTTCGGGTTTAGGGTTTAGGGCTAGGGGTTTAGGGTTTAGGGTTAGGGGTTTAGGGTTTAGGGTTAGGGGTTTAGGGTTGATCAGGGTTTAGGGTCAATGGGGCTTAGGGGTTTAGGGGCTTAGGAAGATTCGGCTTGGGAGGGGGAGAGGGGGGAGACGGATGGATCCCGCTAGGGGCCTGCGAGCCCTAAATGCCAGGCGGGGCGCTTATCTCCTTCCTTCATGAGCTGCATCGCCTCACAGGCGCAGGCGCGATGACTGCTTAGGATTTAGGGTTTAGGGTTTAGGGTTTAGGGTTTAGGGCTACTGCGCAGCAGGCAATGTAGGCAAGCTGCGGTCTTGGTTTTGGGGGCCTTAGGGCTTTTAGGGCTTGAGCCCTCTCAACCCCTTCCCAAGGCAGCTGTGTGCCCCAGAGCCTCCGTCCAGCCCGGGATCACCTGCCGGATGGCACGGGTACCGGCTCAAGTTTCGGGAAGGCCCCATGCTTCCAACCCCAAACCCTAAACCCTAAACCCTAAACCCTAAACCCTAAACCCTAAACCCTAAACCCTAAACCCTAAACCCTAAACCCTAAACCCTAAACCCTAAACCCTAAACCCTAAACCCTTGCCCTTCTCAACGCCTGGCTGGGCGCGAAGGTCAGTGGCCGGCCGCGCTTGTAGGAGGAATCGAACTCCCTGGGCTGCGTTTCAGGGCTGGGGCTCGGCCTGTTTTGGCTTGAGGTAGGGTTTAGGGTTTAGGGTTTAGGGTTTAGAGTTTAGGGTTTAGGGTCTAGGGTCTAGGGTCTAGGGTTTGGGGTTTGGGGTTTGGGGTTTAGGATTTTTGGTTTTTCCAATGAGCATGACTGAGCTCCCGACGAACAAGAACTAGCTACAGGCTATACTGGTTAAAGAGCTTAGGGTTTAGGATTAGTTAACTTCCGAGGCAAGGGGAGTCGGGGGAGCGATGACGGGAATGGGCGCGCTGGTAGCTTCCACTCTCATCCTAAGCCCTAAACCCTGAACCCCAAACCTGAACCCTAAACCCTAAACCCTAAAACATAAACCCGAACCCAAAACAGGCCCAGTGGGCCTTCTGGGCCAGGTTTGTAGGTGCAAGTTGAGGAGCAGCGCAGTTCGCACAACAACGTCTTCCAGGTCTCCTTAATTTCCGTGCGAGGGGCTGGCCGTTGATGAGCTGCCCAGCATAGTGACAGTCCTTGGTAGGGGCTAAAAGAGGGTCTCGGAGGCCTTTAGGGGTGAGGAACTTCCCGGTTGAGCTTTGGGTGAAGTTCTAGCAGAGCCCTTTCCCAAACCCCCAAGGAGCTTAAACCGCGTACTGGCGCGAAGAGAGCCCGAGCGAGCCCCACAAGCCTTCCAAAGGCGGTTTTGGCCTTGGGCTGACCTTTCTTAGAGGCTCATGGGTAGCTATAATAAGTACTATTATAGGTACCCTAAACAAGGAAATCACCAGAGTTACCATACCTACAGCTACCGAAAGCCCTACTTACAAGTACAGTACCCATGAACCTCCACCTAAGCCCACAGTGGTCATTTCCCAAAGTTGCCGTCCCTCTTGGGGTACCCTTAAAAAATTTAGGGGCCGCCTTATAATCGCAACCCCAAAGGAGACCCTACTTCTAGGCTGCCCAGGAACCTAGGCTTAAAAATGGTGCCCTTTTTTGCTTAAAGGGGTTTATAAGGGAACCTAAACCCCCCAAAAAGGGAATAAGGGTACTAATTCTAACTGTACTTATAACCCACTTATAAGCCCCTTAAGTGCCCTAATATGGTTATAAGTACAGTTGTAATTGGTTAATAAGTACCATGGACCTCCAACTGCTTTAGAGAATGCCCAGAAAATCGCCAGCAGAGTCGCACATGGGGTATTGGGCCCAGGTGTTTTCCCGCTGCCGGTCTCCAAGACCTGCTGGCTGGGTTTAGGGTTTAGGGTTTAGGGGTTTAGGGGTTTAGGGGTTTAGGGGTTTAGGGGTTTAGGGGTTTAGGGGTTTAGGGGTTTAGGGGTTTAGGGGTTTAGGGGTTTAGGGGTTTAGGGGCTTAGGGGCTTAGGGGTTTAGGGAATTGCGCTTAGGGTTGAGGGTTGAGGGTTTGTAAGGCTACGTCCGACTCGACTCGTGCTTTTTGCTCCTCTCTGGACCCCCCGGCTAAGGCGATTCTACAATACTTGGGGATATCAGGCATCAAGGGGTGCCCCTTTTCTTAGGACATGCCCGTTGCAACCAGATATCTTAAGGGGTTTGGTTTTGTGGACAAGGGGTCGGTGCAGAAAATGCTTCATAGCCGAAACCTAAACCTTACAGAGCTCTGGCTGTTTGTGTTCAGGGCTTTTGCGAGATTTTAGGACTTTTTGGGGTTGACACTCATTCTAAACCCTAAACCCTGAACCCTGAACCCTATAAACCCTAAATTCACGTCGTGCTCACGGGCAATCCGTAGCCTTGTACATGAGGCCAGACGGAAGCTTCACGACGCCAGGCTCCCCCTCTTTGGCCTTGAGGAAAGCTTGTCCTGGCGCTTCAAGCAAAGCCCTGAGCCCTTAGCCAGAAATCCACAAACCCTAAAGCCCTGAACTCCAAACCCCTAAAGCCCCAAACCCCTAAAGCACCCAAATCCGAAACCCCTAAGCCAAGAACCCTCACATTCGACCTCCCCGAACCCTATAAACGCTGGGCACCCGAAGCATTCTTATAACCGGCCAAGCAGCAAGACGCGTGAAGCCCAAAGCCGCCCGAACCCTAAACCCTTAAACGGTTTAGGGTTTAGGGCTAGGGATCCATGCAAAGCCAGCGCAGACTCCAAGCCCGGATTTACGGCTAGAGGCCCAAAAGCATATAATGGACTTCCTTGTAAGGGCAATATAGGGATTCAAATATTTTATGTTTTGGGAGTTCTTAACGCAAATAGTAGTTTTGGTGCAAGGTCCTGGTCCATCAGTCGGCATGGCTAAGGAACTTTCTATCCTTCAAACCCGTACGAAGCCAAGATGTCTACATGCCCAAACCCTAAACCCTAAACACTAAACCCTAAACCCTAATATGGACCTGTGCCTCCTCTGAGCCGAGTGCCATGTTTGGCAATGTTGAGTCAATTGAGGGATTCGGGACCCTAAGCCCTAAACCTTAAACCCTAAACCCTAGACCCCCACACATGGTCGCCGTGCAGTGGGCTAGGAAGTCTATGCTGGCGATCGGGCATTGGGCTGAGGCCGAAGCCAAGTATCCGAAAACGATTTCAAAGTTTAGGGCCTCGAACCCTAAATCCCCAAAACCCTCAACTCTACCCAGGTTAAGAGGGCTGGAGGATCCTGGGCTGAACCCAGACATAAGGGCTGAGGATGCGTTTTTTTTTTTTTTTTTGTTTGTGTGTGTGTGTGTGGCTACACAGCGTTGCCATCTAAAAAAATCCGGCTTTAGGGTTTGGGGTTTGGGGTTTGGGTTTTGGGTTGTGGGGTTTAGGGTTTAGGATTAGGGTTTAGGGTTTAGGGTTGGAATTTGGGCTTGGGGGTTGCTAGCCTTCAGGGAGATGATTGCAAGTATGCCCTTACACTACTCTGATGCACATGCCGTTTCCGTGCTCATGGTGAGGGCCATACTCTTCCCTACTTTGGCGTAGATCCTGTAAATAATGAATACTTTTTCGGTATAAGTAGCTGCAAGAGGAACCCGGAACCAAACAAAGTATTAAGTATAGTACTCCCAAACCCAGTCTTTGCAAGGATTTCCCTCGCTTGGCTTGAGGGCTTGAGGCCTCAGGGTTCTGGCTGCTGATCCCTGGCGCTGAATCCACAAAACCCTAAACCCTAAACCCTAAACCCTAAATCCATCCCTAAACGCTCTTGTTGCTTCCTGCGAAGAAGCAATCACTGCTGCACGCAAATGCCCTCGTCGTCTTCGTCGGAGCTTCCTCCGCTAGGATTCGTGTAGAGCTGCGCCTTCCTCCTTACAGACAATTTGAGTTTAGGGCTTAGGGTTTAGGGTTTAGCGTTTGGGGTTTGGGGCTCAGGGTTGAAGGCTTGGGATGTAGGGTTTGGGAGGAACCTGGACCTCTCTCGGGGTTTCGGAAATGAGGGGTACCCCTTTTAGGAGATCCTATAATCGGGATTACCCTTTTTCGGGGGTCGGGGGGGGGGGGGGTATAGAAGGGGAACCCCCGGGGGGGGGGGGGGTATAGAAGGGGAACCCCCTGTTGAGGTCGTTTAGCTGCCATGCGCCTCGCAACTCAAACCGAACATGTTGCTGGACATTTTGGCCGGCGTCTGCAATCTCATGGCCTTGGAGCAGGCTTCAAAGAATACAGCTTCCGCCCGGAGCTCGCTGTCGGGCAACAGAATGCGAGGTGCTCCGGCAAGGAATTCCGGCAGCGCCACGCGCTGATCTGCTGAGAGGTCCAGCTGTGACTGCAACAGTATGCCTCAGTGTCACGATGCACTAGACAAGTAACAGCCCCAAACCCTAAACCCTAAAACCTAAAACCCTAAACCCTAGACACTAAGTTGCAAGAATATTCGAGTGAGAGAGGGCTTTCTCGAAGACTTGATGATCCCCCGAACCCTTCCCACATGCTCTGAATCCTAAACTCTGGATCCCAAGCCCTATAAGCCGCAAAACTCTAAACCCCAAACCCTGTAAACCCTGTAAACCCTGTAAACCCTGTAAATCCTGTAAACCCTGTAAACCCTGTAAACCCTGTAAACCCTGTAAACCCTGTACACCCTGTAAACCCTGTAAACCCTACACCCTAAACTCCAACTCACAGCTGGAACAGTGACCGGATACAGCGTGACTCGAAACCATCTTTGTCGAGCCGGGAGTTGTAGTCCTGCATTGTTGGGCAACGGGTTAAGGTTTAGGGTTTAGGGTTTAGGGTTTAGGGTTTAGGGTTTAGGGTTTAGGGGGTGGGGCTTGGGGCAGTCCTGGGATGCGCCCTGCTTGAAGTTCAGGGCTCAGACGGTTTCTCTGGCTGAGAACAGTCAGCAATCGGGCTTAGGGGCCACTAAGCTTCGGGTTTAGGGTTTAGGGTTTAGGGTTTAGGGTTTAGGGTGTCGGATTTAGGGTTTAGGGCTTAGAGGCAACGAATCGCTTTCAAAATCGGACCACCCCGCCTCCCCTTGGTGGCCAGAGCCCTAACCTTGTTTCAAGAACCCTATGCCCCAAAAAAGTAGGGTTTAGGGTTTAGGGTTTAGGGCTTAGGGTTTAGGGTTTAGGGCTTAGGGTTTAGGGTTTAGGGTTTAGGGTTTAGGGTTACAAGTGCCCTAAATAAGGATTGAAATTATAGCTACCATACTTATCGCGCTGCTTCGAAATACCCCTGAACCTGCCAAAGTGGCCCTACTTATATCCACCCAGGAACCGGCCCGTGCACCTAGCAATGTCACTGTCAGAAACCGAAATCACTAAAAACCCCTAAAAACCCTAAAACCCTAAACCAAACCCTAAACCCCAAACCCCAAACCTAAACCCTAAGCCCCAAACCCCAAACCCCAAACCCTAAACCCTAAACCCTAAAGCCTAAACCCTAAACCCTAATCCGAGGGCGTCCAACAGCAGGCGCTGGCCCAGGCTGGTCATCGTCGCAGAGGCAGTCCGCAGCGTGATCTGGCTATGCGCGTCCAGGAGCACAGCCTGACCCATGGGTCAGGTACTTCGAGTAAGGTTGTTGGTGTGCTCTAAACCTCAACCCTAAACCCTGAACCCTGAACGCTAAACCCTAAACCCTAAACCCTTTTGTCGCCTTGCTTCGCTCTGCCGGCTGCCTCCGTCTCCGTCGTGCAGCCCTAAACCCAAGTTCGCCAGTTCTCATAACACCAGCCCCAAAACCTCTGATTTAAAATCCTGAGCCTAAGCTTAGAACAAGCCTGCATCCCAAAGCCACCCCCGGAGCTGGCCTGAGCGATATGTGAGGCCCGGATGATCTATCTCTGGATGTAAAAGCTCAAGGCCCTTTGCAGAGAGATCCTAAGCCATGGGCCCTAAACTTCACACCCTAAAGCCACCTGAATTCCCCCTTGAGCGCCGGCCTTGCTTCCCATCGCCTCGCGGCGCTGCAGAGCGCGCTGCACCTGCTTGTGGGCACTTGTGGGGGAAGGGGGAAGGGGTGGGAGGGGAAGGTGGAAGTTGTGGCTTGGGTGTTCCGTTCCCTTGTTAGGGGGTCGGTTTAAGGAAGATGTTCCTAGGAACCCAGCTTGTTGGTAAATTCCAATGTGGTTGGCAGCGCAAGGATTGCTTAGGGTTTTAAAGGGCCCTCAGGCATCGATTGCTGCAAGCCTTCACCTTAAACACTGAATCCTAAACCCTAAGCCCTGTCAGACAGCGCCCGCACTAGAAGGCCACTGCCAAGTGCTGCATGTCACATCCGGACGTTGATGTCAGTGGATGTTGCCAGGATCGGTAACCCTAAAACCGAAACCTTAAACCCCAAACACGATGAAATGTGCACCCCGACTTTTCTTGAACGGAGCTTGTCAGGGAACCGAACGAAGGCCATGAGACTTGAGCAGCAACCAATGAGCCATTAAACCCGAAATTCCGAACATGCCAACCTCCTCAACTCATAAACCCTAAAACTTAACACTCCCCTCCCCCACCAGACCCTACACCCTACACCCTACACCCCTAAACCCCTAAACCTCTAAACCCCTAAACCCCTAAACCCCTAGACCCCTAGACCCCTAAACCCCTAAACCCTAAACCCCAAACCCTAAACCCTAAACCCTAACCCAGCTTGCGATGGCTTTGCGGCGCCTCAGTCTTCCGCAGCAGCAGCAGGTCCCAAACCATCTGTTGGAGCTCCTGGCATGTAGGGTTTAGGGTTTAGGGTTTAGGGTTTAGGGTTTAGGGCTGGCAGGGAAAGTCTTGGCGTTCAGGGCGTAGGGTTTGGGGAGTTGGGTTTAAGGGTTTAGGGTTTAGGGTTTAGGGTTTCGGGTTTCGGGTTTAGAGTGAACATGTAGGGTACAGGGTGTAGCGCTTCGGGTGGAAGCCCCCAACTGAGAAGCTGAGAAGGGCAACCGCCGCTTGAAGTCTGCGACATGGGGTTTGGGCTTCCGGCGCGCCGGGACATCAGGGCTTGTTTTAGGGTTTAGGGTTTAGGGTTTAGGGTTTAGGGTTTAGGGTGACGTATAGGGTTTAGGGTTTAAGGCTCAGGGTGTGGGAGGAACATCCAAGTTCTGTTTGCTTAGAATCTTGGTAGCCCAGCAACCATGTTATAATAAGGGTACCCTTTTTGGAGTTGGCTGCTGCAAAACTGAACCTTGAACCCGACAAAGGGGCAAAAGGGCACCACTGGGCTACCAAGGAATATTACCTTAAACATCATGATCAGTTGAGCAGCTGCGTAGAGCTTAGGCTTGCAGGGTTTAGGGTTTAGGGTTTAGGGTTTAGGGTTTAGGGTTTAGGGTTTAGGGTTTAGGGTTTAGGGCTTAGGGTTGCAGGGTTTTCAAGGTCAGGGCCTACAGGGTAAAACTGTTTACTAGATCGGACTAGGCACTTACAAGGTATTATGCACATGACATCCGCCTACTCAAAGCCTTTAAAGGGACACGTGGGGAACCTCGTTTCCCAAATTCCCTAAACCCGAAACCCGAAACCCAAGCCCTAAACCCTAAACCCTAAACCCTAAACCCTAAACCCTAAACCCTAAACCCTAAACCCTAAACCCTAAACCCTAAACCCCAAACCCTAAACCCTAAACCGCAAGCCTCAAAGGAGAGGTCCCCGTCACCATTCACATCGTAGAGCCTCAGGGTCTAGGCTTTAGGGTTTAGGGTTCAACGGCCTGGGCTTGGGTATAAATCCCCCATCCAAACCCCCCAAAAGCCCTTAAGCTTCTAGACCGCCCTAGAGCCCCTCTCAATCCCACTCAAAACAAGAATAGCATTGTGCTTGGCAGCCTTGTAACAATATTATGTCCTGTTTGAGGTCAGTTCCTTGTCGCAAGGGAACCTAGAACACACAACGAGCAAAGTGTACCTCTGAGCTACTACAAACCCTAAACCCGATGAGAACAGAAACCGCAAACCCTACAAACCTATAAACCCTAACCCTCAACCCGAAACCCCAAACCCTATAGCCCCGCAAACCGTAAAACCCTAAACATGTGAACTGTAAACCCCTGCAAAAGCTGTAAACCCTAAGCCCCGAACCCCAAACCCTAAACCCCAAACCCTAAACCCTGGTTTCGAGACCCCAGAGCGAAAACTTCGCCGGACTTCGGTCGGCAGTCCACTAAACTCTATACCCTAAACCCCTCTACCTCTAATTAACTATACCCTAAACCCCTCAACCTCTAATTAAACCCTAAACCCTAAACCCTAAACTCGGCCCGGAGGCTGGAAGATCGCCTCGAAGAGCTCCTGCCCCGGCGACTGGCCTTGCACCGCGGCCTCGAGGTTTAGGGTTTAGGGTTTAGGGTTTAAGGCTTAGGGGCTTAGTGTTTAGGGTCCTTAGGGGCTTTTCTGGCTTTCAAGGATAATTGGGGGTTTTTGTTTAGGGTTTTCATTTTGGCGGTTTAGGCTTTTGGGGGTTTGGGTTTTGCCGCGGATTTTGAAGGGTCTTTTGAAGAGGACTGTTGGGGGGGGAGGTGTAGGTGGTTTTTAGGACCTACGGGAGGCTCGGGGCATTGAGTCATGGGTTGACCCAGTTGAGGGGACCTAGGCAGTTTCAGGGCAACCGTTGGGATGCTCTCCCCTATACTACGAGTCCTTAATAAGGAGTATAGTACCCACTACTACAATCCCTGTTAAGGGCTGTTGGTATACGGGGGAACATCCCAAGGCAACGGTGTCCAGAGCGAACCCACCCGCGACCCACGAAAAAAGACAAAAAAACTCCTGGGGCTCAACTGAATACACCCCATAATTCCCCAAATCCCAAACCCAGCACGCAAACAAAGCATTTAGGGTTTAGGGCTTATAATAGGACTTAGGGCTTAGGGCTTTGGGTTTAGGGTTTAGGGCTTAGGGTATCCCCAAATCTGCCTTGAAATCCCGGAGATGGGAAGATCATGCCCACCCCCCAACCCTAAACCCTGAACAATACACGCTCACAACCCCGAGCCCCAAGATAATGTGTAGAGTTTACGAGCCAACTTGCCTAGAATAAAGAAGGCCACCAACTCGAGAAGCCTGTCAAAGCACAGGGTTTGGGGTTTGGGGTTTACGGTTTAGGGTGCACACAATGCAGTGACTGCATCGGTATAAGCCTTCAGAGCCCTCAACCCCTCAACCCCTAAACCCCCAAGCCCTGCCTCTTGAACCCCTAAACCCTAGAACTCCCAAACCCTAAACCCCGACACCCGAAAGCCCTTAAACCCTAAACCCTAAACCCCAAACCCTAAACCCCAAACCCTAAACCCCCTAGACCCCGAAACCCTGCCTCGATACACGCAGCCCAGATCTGCCCCAGGGCGCCCTGGTGGGCAGAGACCGGCATCTCGGTCCTGTTCTTGGTAGGGAATGAGGGAATGTAGGGTTCAGGGTTTAGGGTTTAGGGTTTAGGGTTTAGGGTTTAGGGTTTAGGGTTTATAAGGGATTATGCAGGGTACCTCATTCCCCCATTCCCTACTAAGGACCAGGGGGGCTGTGGCCATCCCCCGTCCCCAGTCCCGGCCCTTTAGTTGTTTTTGGGCTTTAGGGTTTAGGGTTTAGGGTTAAGGGTTAAGGGTTAAGGGTTAAGGGTTAAGGGTTAAGGGTTAAGGGTTAAGGGTTAGGGTTTAGGGTTTAGGGTTAGGGTTTAGGGTTTAGGGTTTAGGGTTTAGGGTTTAGGGTTTAGGGTTTAGGGTTTAGGGTTTAGGGTTTAGGGTGTTAGGGTTTTAGGGTTTAGGGTTTAGGGTTTAGGGTTTAGGGTTTAGGGTTTAGGGTTTAGGGTTTAGGGTTTAGGGTTTAGGGTTAGGTTTAGGGTTTAGGGTTTAGGGTTTAGGGTTTAGGGTTTAGGGTTTAGGGTTTAGGGTTTAGGGTTTAGGGTTTAGGGTTTAGGGTTTAGGGTTTAGGGTTTAGGGTTTAGGGTTTAGGGTTTAGGGTTTAGGGTTTAGGAGGTTTGAGGTTCAGGGGCCAAAGCGTCAGGGCGAAGGCAACGGGTCAGTGGCTGAGAACTCTGACTTCGGGACTGAGGACCTTCATGGCGTTTTGTCTTAGAAGTGCTTCGGCATGTGTTCGTGTGCATTTTCGTCACCAGCTGAAGGAAGGAAAGACCCCAGACCCACAGCATTGCCCACGAATAGGCCGAGGGCAGCAGCCAGCTTAATTAGGGATGTCCGACCTTCAACCCTGAGCCCTGGCAAACCCCAAAAACCGCCCAAAGCCTGGCAAATCCCAAGGCCGAGCCCTAACCCTCGAAACCTCCTAATGCCCAAACCCCATAAACCCCAAACCGCCAAAACCCTAAGCCCCAAACCGCTGAAAGCCTAAACCCTCTACCCGGAACCCCAAACCGCCCAAAGTCTAAACCCCAAACCTCCTAAACATCAAGCCCTGAATATCCTAAACCCCAAACCCCCAACCCCAAACCTCCTAAACCCTAAACCCCAAACCCTAAACCCTAAACCCCAGATGCGAAACCCTCATTCCCAAACCCCAAACCTCCTAAAACCCAACCCTAAACCCCAAACCCCAAACCCTCAACTCCAAACCCTAAACCCT